TCCCCTGCAAATTTTACTGTCCAAAAACAATGTTATGCTACAGTACACAGACATTCGGCGAGCACCATGACCAAGCGGAAAACCAGTTCAAACTGAAACCAGCTTCCCTGAGTTTAGACCCCCAGCAAGCTCCTTATTGGCCCACTGTCTTTTCTTGTGTGATTGGCCACCACTGCTGTCACTCCTGAGAAGCTCACTTTGCAAACATCTGAGGTGCCACTGAATCTGGTCTGTGATCGGATGGTCAAACAAGATGAAGTTAGTTTTATTTGAAAATACTTGCGTAACCCCCACTTCTGAAATCAAAATTTCGTCTCTGGTTCCAGTCTATCTTTATAGATTTTCCTTTTACTGTTTCATTGAAACGGCCCAGTTCCTTTTCAGAAAATGTGATTTCCTGGTCTGAATGGAGAGCGGTTTTTCCTTTATCAACTTATCAATCTTCATAATCTTGGCTTCAGAAAAGGTGAAATCAAAAAAGCTCACCTTACTCTGAGATCAGTCAGTTAAGAATTCACGATCAGCAAGCGAATAATTTAAATCCTCATTAATGGAAACTGTTAGATTCAAAATATTGTGAGTTCATATTTCATATAGGACAAAAATGAATCTGAAGCACAACAAAGGTTTTTTCAAACAGAGCTTTTCCTGCAGGAATGAGAAAGGCTGCTGCTCACATCTCAGCACCCTTCTGACCCCCAACAGAACAGCAGAGTCTTTTATTCACAGAGCAGAAACAGATGGGTGGGTTTCATGACCCTAGAATGACAAACTGGCTGAGAGGCAGGTCATAAAAGTTTATTACCTTAAAAATTTTTGGATTTATCTAAACACATATCATTGCTTCCTAACCCTTCCTCCCTTATAAAATAAAAAATAAAATGATAAAAAAAATACCCTTCTAAAATAGGTGTCAATTTGTTAAAGTTAAGGCCCAGATTTCCTGCCTGTATGAATTCTGTTAATAGCAGAAATTTGATACAAAAGAGGGAAAAATCATATCTGCAGTTTAACAAAGTTCTTCGTGTTAGATGACTTTCATGAAGTATCTAGGATTCTTGAATACCTCAGGAGTTTTGACTGCGAAGGTGACCATGATGGAGAAGAAAAACAGACCAGACAACCAGAAGTCCAGAGGCTGTCTGCCCTATTAGTGGACATTCAAAACAATGTTCAATAAGCCGTCATAAAAAAAAAAAAAAAAACTCCTCCTGACTTACTCATCTAACTTATTGAACTAAAATTTCAGATAGATGATTGGTTGAGAATATTTTTTTTGTTGTTTTGGTTAATTAGGGTCCAAGTAAAAACACAACGTCTAGACTATGATTCATAGTCAGATCATGAATTCAAACCTTTTTCTTGTCGGAGGTCTAAACTTAAATATGAAACCTAGAATCTTAAAATTTATCTTTGGTTCTGACAAAAACTGAATAGATTCTAAATGTGAAAATCTAATGGCTCCTCTGTGTTTTTGCTTTCTGACTATTTTCTGTTTATCATTGATCCAAACAGGGATTAATGTAGCCTCGTTAGACCATCCTGATCTCGCGAGCTTTCAATGTTTCACTCACTAATCAGTCTGGAGATTCTCCGTTGAAGAAAATTTGTAGCAGTTCACCAAACAAACATCCAATCAGTGTTGGCTTTGAGGCTGGTTGAGGTGTGACGCAACGAGAAGCGCGACAGTTCAGTCTAAAGAGCATGGCGGCTTCAGCCGATGAAACTAGCGTTAGCGCGGCTATAGAGCAAGTTTTATCGGAATTACACTGTACCTCTTCACTGAAAGAAGAGCAAAACACTGCTCTGGAGGCTTTTCTCAGAGGAAAATATGTTTTTGCTCTTCTCCCGACTGGTTTCGGCAAGAGTTTGATCTATCAATTGGCTCCTCTTCGTCTTTGCTCTGTTACGTCATATGCTTCGTTGATCTGATTGGTTTATTTGGCCCGTCTATCACCAGACGGATATGCTCCGCATATCCATCTGGCGGAGCCAGGTTAGGATTAATGAGCCTCCACAGTTTGAATGAACTGGTTTTACTGGGGAGTTGTTATGTAGATCTCTAACCTGATTGATCATTCCAGCCTTGCTATGAGATCATCATATTAGCTTGAAGATTAAGCTCATTCTAGATTAATTCAGCTGTGGAAGGAGAAGGGAGTTCCGCCAGTGAGCTAAGCTGGAACACAGTCAATCTGAACCACTGAAACCAGTTCAAACTGGGAGCTGCAAATGAGCCTTCTCAACCATCACTGCTGAGATTAACTAAACTTATATTATCATTTATTCTGAGTTCCTCAGATAAACTGCATAATGAATGGAAGCTGAGGGTTCTGCTGAGCTCACAGCACGGAGCGGAGCAGACAGAGATATGATGAAGCTCTGTCTTCCAGCAAATTACCTGAGGGGGCATTTATCCCTCCGGCTCCTGCGTTTAGCTGGCTTCAGAAAGGTATGGACAAGAAGAGAACAGGAAGGACATGCAGCTAATGGACCCAGAACAGGAATCAAATCCAGGGCTATCAGTTCAGGGGAGTATAGGCTCATTTATATACAGGCACATTCTACTAAACCACTGAAGCACCAGGAACTCCAATAGAATCTGAACTGTACTTTTTATATCTCTGCTTCCTTTTCTATATCCCCACTTACACTATCCTCTGAAAACCGATCAGTGCCAAGCTCAGTTCCTTACGACCATTTACACACCACGCTAGCACGGTTCCTCACCTCCTTGTGTGGTACAACTGTTCTCTAGAGGTAAAGAAGCAAGTCCACATGGCGGTGCATGTAAGATTCAGGAAATTTGGTTATATTTGTGATATTTCATTGTTGGCGGAGTGTCAGGTGAAGAAGGCAGCCTTTGGTGAATTTACTTGACAGAGTCGGCTTTTGAGAAGTGGAAACGAAAAACGATAGTCAAATCAGGGCTTACAGATGCATGAAACAATGACAGATGTTGAGGCTGATGATACTGCTAGATAGACTCCTCACTGGAAATTGTGTGGCACGGTAGGGAAGCTTGTATTTTTTTGAATGTCTGCGACCCAGTGGATGTTAAGTGGGGTAAATGCATAAAATTCCACTGGTAAAATTTTTACCAATATTGACATGATAGACATCATTTGAAAGCTTAGATTCTCCACAAACCAAACACCATTTTATGGGCTCAGTGAGTACCAAAGCACAATTAAAACAGATATAGCAGCAAGGAAAAATATAAACGTGACAAAGCAGCCACAACAACATATCTTTGAAGGCATCCAGAAGCAGTTTTCTAAATCCAATCTTCAATTATTTATACTCCATCAGTCCATAAGGGTCCACAGATTAAAAGTAATCCAGCGTATTCGTAATAAAAATATTCTATGATGAGAAAATCGCCCCATAACATCCAGTTGTTGACATCAGAAAAGTTAGCTGATCATAGCTTCTTCTCAGCATCTTGTTAATATTTACTTCATAATACTTATTTCCTCGGTTGTTAGCCCACAATGTTTGGTAGGGAAAAACATTGCGGTTCAAAATTCCACAGTTCCTTTGAATGGTTAGTCTTTCTGATCATGGAATCATCTCAAGTTCCTGTCATTTTAGGCTCTACCTGGCGAAATAAGCACAACCCTCAGATTGGCCGGCAAAGGGTGAAGGTGCTAGGTTTGTCTCCTGTTTGTTCTAGTACCCGTTTACGGTCAGCTAAGTCCAACATGCCGGTTAGTTCTGGGAATTCTGAATTTGATCCAGATCTTTCTATTGTCCCTGAAGAGTACCATGACCTCTATGAGGTTTTCAACAAGGGCAAGGCCACAGCCCTACCTCCTCATAGACCTTTTGATTGTGTTATCAACCTACTGCCTGGCACCACACAAGGAGGTGGAAAATATCTGGATGATGCAACATGTTCAACGTTTTTTCGAAATCTGTTTGAATTGACCATGTTTCTGTCTCCAATTTATACCTGCAGAGGAAAAGCCTTTGATGTCTGTGCTTTCTGGGCTCAACAATGCACCAGCAGTTTTTCAGAACTTGGTAAACAAGGTACTCAGAGACTTGATGGGTCACTTTG